TGATAATAGTCTGGCAATGGGTTTAAAAATACTGACAGCAATTGATTTATATTTAAATGTCTCTTTTTACAGTAATCATCCATTGTTTGTAAGCTTGTGCTCAATGTATCCAAATGAGTTTTTATCAATTGATAATTTGTTAGCAGTGTCTGTATCCACACATTTTATAGACTCAGGAAAATTAAAAAATTATTTTGTTAAGGAAGAAACATTTCATATGTGTAAAGAATTTTTATGGTCTGTGTTTCTTTGTGTTCTTGCTCTTTTAACTGTGTGTTCTACAAGACTTAAATGTTACTATAGAACAGTTTTTTCCTAAAATATAAAATTATGTTTAATCTTAATATTGAACCTTATTCTATGTTCATCATCAGATATTGTTAATTTGTTGTTTCGTTCGAAGGCTTCTACTTTGAAAGATTTACAAATATAAAATTTGATTCAAAATATTTTTGTTCCTGATGAAACTTCTTTTTTAAAAACAAATGGGCAATCTTTAAAAACTTTTATCATTAAAACAATTTTCATGGCTTAGATATTTACCTTCTGAAGATGGAGCATTTTGTTTGTGTTGCCTTTTGTTTAGATATAAATACCTTTCAAAAACTTCTAGATTTAAAAATTTGTTCTCAGTCATTCAAATATAGGCCAGATGCTGTGAGCACTTTTAATAGACATTACCATGGGAAAAACGGGAATAATTATGAATATCACTCAGCTGAAATATTTATGAACATCATCACGCAGTACAAATTCTACATTATAATGCCTGGACCATATTTTCCACAGTTTTAAATACTATGAATAGAAATATTTAAAATATAGATATTTTAATAAAGAATGTGAAAAGGAGATAGCTTTAAATTGTAAAAAGTTGTTTTGTGAGAAAATCATTTTCTTAGGTCAACTTAATATAGCTTTTAGAGGTCATTGTGATGGTCATTGGCAAATATTCTTTAGTGGGTGGAGTAGGTAATTTTATTGAACTTTTAAACTACAGAATCAGAGGTGGGGATAAAATTCTTGAACTTTATCTTAACAGCTGTGCAAAGAATGCATCTTATATTTCTAATTCCTCACAGAATGAATTAATAAGTTGTTGGGGAAAGGACATCCAGAATATTTTGGTTTCTGAAATAAAAGAAAATCGAATTTTTTCAGTTATTGCTGATGAAGCTTCTGACTGCTCCAATCAGGAATAATTGTCTTTAATAATTAGATTAATAGACAATTCCTATGATGTTAGGGAAGAATTTATGTGTTTTTTACATTGTAAATTAGATACTGAATAAAGGTTTGTATATACACTGTATATACTAATCTTTATTCAGTATCTTTAAGATCTTCTTCAAATAGAAAGTTTGTATAATTTTTAAATTAAAAAATATAGTTATTTTATTTTTTACAGTTTTATTTATTTAAAAGGATTATTTATTTTATTTTAGTTGTTATTTTATTTTTTTCATGAAGTTTTATTATCTTTATAAATTTAAACATGTCTAATTTTTATTGTATTCTTTTTTTCTATATTTATCTTTAGTTTTACCTGTCAATTGTTAATCGAAACTGGTACCGTTATGTACTGTATCTTTGGTATTTTAATTAGGAGCATTATATTCATTGTCTATTATATACTTTTTCTCCTTTTTTTCAACTCTACCTTGAGATTCTACCTTGTGTGGTTATTTGAGTTGAAATATGGTTTTAATTTAGTAAGCTTTCATTATTTGAAGTTTACCTTATTGATCATTATTCAACAGTTTAGAGAAAATAAACACATGCAACTTATTAAATGTAAGCATAACTTTGTTTACGAACAATAATATTACAATTGTTTAACATTATATAGCATATCTATCAATGAAATAAAATAACAAAATGAGTTTTTATGGTTAGTTATCATATTATTGCTTTTGTGTTATTGCATTTCTCATAGTATGATAGTCATACTAATCAATTACATTATAGTTTTTTTATAATTATGGTATTAATGTTATTGTAGTTGTTTACTTTTACATAGTTTTTTTTCTATTTGCAAGTCACCTAACTATGCAAACCTTGCCTATTTAATTAATGATTTGTTATACTCCATACAGGTGTATTATTTATATATGTTACAATTATACACAATAATGATGCCCACAAAATATTTTAATACCACAGACAATATTTTATTTTTGTAGATTTAATGGATCCTTGCTAGTTTTAATACTATATATCTATATATATATATATATATATATATATATATATATATATATATATATATATATATATATATATATATATATATATATATATATATATATATATATATATATATATATATATATATATATATATATATATATATATATTAAATATGCAACCCCATTTGAGCCGCTTTTTTGAAGGCTTTGCAAATAACTTATTTATCAAACAAATGGGGTAGGTGCTTTTTTTTGTATTTCATCTTCATCCCCCCCTGTCCTTTCGTGGGGAGGAGGCAGTAAAATCCGCAACCGACTTTTTTGACTAACCTCTTTAAAAAGCTAAACCCGCCCCTGTATATATATATATAATATATATATATATATATATATATATATATATATATATATATATATATATATATATATATATATATATATATGCTACAGTCATAAGTGTTACTATTATAGTCATATTGCGTGTTACTATTACATATTACGTGTTATTATTTTGTTACGTGTTATTGTTATGTTATTAACTTACAGCCTGACTCGCACCGGAGTGCCGCTCCGTTGCGAGTTATGCTATATATAGTGCTGTTAATTTTTCTAGTATATTTTCTCACCCTTAATAGCCTTTTTTCTTACTACCTGCCAAATTTCATTGAAAAAATGCATACATAGACACCTTAATACTATACTATAATTAGGTAAAAATTTGGTGCTGTTTGGACATCAAGTCTATATTAAAGGAATGCTGGTTCATTTTTCACTTATATCTTAACAGTATACTACAATTAGATTACAACTTTAAGCTTTAATAAGGCGATAAATTTGCAGTAATGCGATACATTTGCAGTGATAAGATGTAGAATGTACAAGTAATAGCAATAGTGTTGTTGAATATAGATTATTTAATTGTACTAAATAGTTGTATAGTAGTTAAAAATTATATTGTCATTATATTTACTATTATTTAAATGTATTATTTTTCATTTACAAAAATTAAACTAATTTTTCCTTAGCTACCATAGGGCCAAAATCGTTTGCGTTTCATGGTAAAGTTTGTGTTTCATGGTGAATGCAAAAAGTATTTTACTGCTTAATTTGAACTGTCGCAAGTAGGCATTAACTCTTATACAGAGTGTAATACAACTTGTAGAAATGAACATATTTTTTTATTATTTACAAAAACTAGCGATTTCCCAGCAGGCACAATGACGTTGAAATAATGTTGAAACAACGTCGTAAACCGACTATATGCCACGTTGAAACAACGGTGAAATTTGATTGAATTGGAAATAAAATCCGACGTTGAAAACTACGACGTTGAAACAACGTCGATGATTACGTTGTTTCAACGTTGTTCTAACGTCATATCGACTACATATCAGCCATATTTCCACTTTGAATAGGTGATATTCGGTTGATAAGTAGTTAATACGATGTTAGAACAACGTCGAAACAACGTAAATTCAACGTTGATTTTTGTTTTTTATTTTGATTTAAATCCAATTAACTAAAAAATTATCTCAACTTTAATTGCAATCAAATAACACAATAAATAAGCAATAATTTGCGCAGAGTATAATATATTTCACGTAAATTAATCAGATACAACTAAATTGCTTCAAGGGACTTTATATAAAATGCAAAGAAAATAAATTGTTTGAAAAAAAAAGTTTTATTAAACAATAGTTTCAGAACAATTAGGAAAAAGTATGAATGTTGTTTTGTACCGACCACCACCATTCGATCTGTCGAGTGCATATTTGAATAAATCATTACTCCTTTACCTATTTCGGTAACTGTAGCAGTTGCTTTAATTGATATGACGCTCTCTATAAAAAAAGGTATTGCCTAGTTAACCTGCATTATACATTATTAATATCATATATATATATATATATATATATATATATATATATATATATATATATATATATATATATATATATATATATATATATATATATATATATATATATATATATATATGTATATATATATATATACTTGAGTTTAATTATGCATTAATAGATAAAAACAAAATTATAAGTTAAAAATACGGAAATATATATATATATATATATATATATATATATATATATATATATATATATATATATATATATATATATATATATTATATATATATACTTGAGTTTAATTATGCATTAATAGATAAAAACAAAATTATAAGTTAAAAATACGGAAATATATACATATATATATATATATATGTATATATATATATATATATATATATATATATATATATATATATATATATATATGTATATATATATATATATATATATATATATATGTATATATATATATATATATATATATATATATATATATATATATATATATATATATATATATATATATATATATATATATATATATATATATATATATATATATATATATATACTTGAGTTTAATTATGCATTAATAGATAAAAACAAAATTATAAGTTTAAAATACGGAAATATATACATATATATATGTATATATATATATATATATATATATATATATATATATATATATATATATATATATATATATATATATATATATATATATATATATATATATATATATATATATATATATATATATATATATATATATATATATATATATATATATATATATATATATATATATAGTTTAATTATGCATTAATAGATAAAAACAAAATTATAAGTTAAAATTACGGAAATATTTTGGATGATTAAAATATTTGTTAAAGAAGTTTTGATATGAATTAACAGCTTATTTTAATAACTTTCTTTCAGACGATGATACGTATTTAATACCTAAAAAGTTTCAGTTTCGATAATGTTTTATTAATGCTTTTATTTAGTTATTATTCTTTAAAGTTTATGCCAAGTTAATATTTCACAAGATCTTTATTTTAATATACGTAAAAAATAAATGATATTTTAATTAAATATTGCAGCCTTTAAAGTTGTTTTGGTATTTGTGTAACTTTGAGGTGAGTTTTAATATTTAAAGTTTTAAGTGTTAATAAATGTCTTATAGGGATATTTTGTCAAAAGTTGAGTCTTGGCACAAAAATATCTTAAAATATAGAGAACACTCTTCACTATGTAAGAATGTTGGTTCTCATAAATTAAACTTCAATAACTTAGACAAAATGAAAAACTATTAGACTTCTAATTTTTCATTAAAAAATTTAATGAGTTTAAAGCTATGTACAACTTACACATTTGTATAACTTTTGAACGCGGCATAATTTTTTAATAACGCTTTGAATTTAGTTATATATTATAACCAGTAAGACTAACAATTTTTACAACAAATAGTATTTTTGTTATTTAAGCTGTAACTTCCTGTAACAAGCTATAACAATTTTTGGTAAGTACTGATTATTTAAAAAAAAACACCTTTATAATAAATGTGTACATACAAACAAAGACTTATGTGGAAGTTACTTAAACAAATACATAAAGAAAAGGAAAAACATAGTTGTATTTAAAGATTTTTTTATATGAATATATTTAAAGCATTAATTAATAAATCTATAAATTTTGTCGAGAAATCTTGATTCTTTAAACACAAAATCGTTTTTTTAATTTTTATTTTATTTAATTACCTTTTAAGCTGGTGCATAAAAAAGTTTATATACACTTTATTTTATCCAACTTTTTATTTATGGCTGAGATACTTGAACAAAACAATGCGTTTTTAAATTATGAAAACTAAAAAAAAACGTTGTTATATAGGTGCATTCTCTGTAACATGTACAATGGCAATCAATAAGTAAAGTAACAAATGTACTATTGCAACTAATTATAAGTAAATAATCACAGCCTTCAGAATCTTCATTCAGTAATGACACAGAATATTAGTGAAATATCTATACCCATAGTTTACATATCAGTTTTTTTCATTTTGACACCAGGTTTGTATTTTTGACAGCATGTCATTGTTTTGTTATGGTCCAGTGGCGGAATAAGACTTCTTGGGGCCCTGGGCTATTTTTGTTTTTGGAGGCCTTTTTACGGGCCAGAGCCTAAAAATGACTTAAAAAAAAAAAAAAACCTCAAAAAATTTCGGGGGCCCCTAAGTTTGCGGTGCCCGGGGCTAAAGCTCCCAACCTCCTTGATCCGGCACTATTATGGTCAGCAAATCCGATATTCTTCAAGGTAAAATTGTGAATTAAGTTCTTCACGAAACAGCACTCCTATGTCAAGTACAAAACTAATTTCATTTTTATTTATATCATTTTTCCCGATGCATTATTTTTTTTAAGTAAAATTTATTTTTTAATTTTTTAACAGATTTATAATTATTAACTTTTTATCTTTTTTCCCCTTTTTAATTCTTTTTTCTATTGTATATTTCTCAGATATATAGAATAGTACTCAAATGAACAGCGTTTGTGTTACTCCGATTTTTTTTCTCCAATTTTTTTTTTTTTTTTTTAATTCAATTTTAGGAATTACTTAAGGAACAGGAAAAAACGAAAGTTACCAAAAAAACGGAAGATTGATAATTTCATTGATAATTTAAACTTATTAGGCTTTTCTGCGTCAAATTCTTCAAGAAATGGGAAACATACCAAGTATAACACTTCAATCTAATATTAACTTGGTTAAAACAGCTCAAGCTGAGTATGATTTTCTTCGTCTTGTTGACAAATTTCCGACTTTATATTGTGAAAACGTGTTGAAAAATGCGGTATACCGTTATGAAAATTACTGGCTGCCTCTTCTTGCAAAGTACAACCTAGTTGTAATTGCTCCACTAGATATTGAATGGGTTTGGCATTCGCATATACTAAATCCATCAGCATACAACAAAGATTGTAAAAAGCTTGTTGGTAAAGTTATTGATCATGTTCCGATGTTCTTAGCCCTAGATACTCTTAATATTTCAAAAAAATACTGGTCAGTGGAATATCCTAATGTAGATTACCAAGTTGATTTATCTGATATAAATCCTTTACTTATATCTACTGAACCATTTAAATGTTCTTATGATATTGTTTCTGCTGCTCAACGTCACAGAATCTTCAGCTATAACGTTTTGTTTCCGCATTTCAGAGACGTTGATTTTTTGAAAAAAGCGGTGAAACGCTATTTTATTATGCTTTCTATTAAACGTGACCATCGACAAACGTTTGTTGTGCCATGCTATGATAATGATTTAGTTTGGCATGGTCATCAGCAAAATGTATTACATTATAATGCGGATATGAACTCAATTTTGGGAGAGCCCCTTAATCACGATGATACAAGTTCTGACAGAAGTGAAGGGTCTCAACTTCAAAAAGGAATGAACGAAACAAAAGAGTTATGGCAAAAGTATTCATCAAAATATACAATTAACGGTGGAATGTTTCGTGGTGAACCTCCAATGCCCAACTTAAATATAGGCAAATACTTTTACAGTCGATCGATTTTAAAAGTGAGTATTGTTATCCGTTTTGTTTCTTTAATGTTCATATTTTCTTTATTAATTTTTTTTTTTTACAAAAGAAAAAGTATTTATTGAAATTATTTAAAGTGAAATATTTCACTTTTTTTTTTTTGAAATTATTTAAAGTGAATTATTGAATTATTTAACGTAAACGCAGAGCACACACGCACACAAACACATGCACGCATTCAAATGCACACAAATGTACACACGTGCGCATTTAAAAAGACACGCCCACACGCGAACTGTCTGGGTGTGTCTCCTTAATAAAGTTTTGTCTATGTTTGCCGGAAATAATTTTAAAGTTTAAACGTTTAAGATTTTGCTTTAGTAACCATCGAATGAAAAAAGTTTAAGTAAATTTTAAAATGCATAAATCATAATGGTATGTTAATATATTTTTCTGATCATTTTTTACTAATTGCTAAACTTGTGTTTTTTGATTCACATAATTTCTCTCAACTTCTTGGCAATGTTAAGTAATTTTTTTAAATTTAACAAAAAATATATATAATTGATATAAATATTTCTGGCTAAAAAATAGTAATTGAAATTTTGTCTGAAAAGACTCTTGTTTTTCAAAAAAACTGAAACTAAAAATGAGCATTTTTTAAATGACCGTTGTAAACTTACTTACGGGAGATTGGGCCCCGTGTTACATGGGGCACTATGAAACATTATAATTGTGGAGATATCTTAACAGTTGTGACCACCCCTTTCATATAGTGAAACAGTTATTACTAGACCTATGTTTTGGAAAAAAATAATATATCATTTTACATTGTTAGGCCTGATAGGGGTCGAAATTTGTGTTTTTTTGATGACAAAGTATTTTATTAGTTTTTAAAGCTTATAAGTTTTAAAGTGTCTTATTCAATGTATCAATTGACATTATTTTGTAAACTACAATCCATAAGCTTTTTACTTCATTAAACAAAATCATTGAAAAAACAAGTTAATATTAAAAAGAAAGCAATTGTTTTCTATTAGCAAGTTTGGCTAACTTGACACAGCATTCGTGGGGGGCCCTAAAACTGTAGAATAGTACTCCATTGTGTCATAAACAATTTTAAAAATTATTTCTTTTAATATTTATAGTTAATTTTAAAAAGATTGCAAATATAATACAATGACCATTAATTATTGATGCTTGAGAATAATATTTAAAACAATATATTATTTGTTCTTCTGAAATGTGGTTTGGACCAATTGGTGCATTGTTTGGGTTATAAATATTAATTTGTTTATATCTCAAACAAAAATTGCCCTTTTCTCTATGTTTTATACTTTTTATTTACATTTTTAATGATGTTCGTAATGTGTATCATGGTATGCCATGGGTGGGGTACCTTAAAACAAGTTTCTAATCTTACTTTAACTAGACTCACAAATTTAAACTGTTATGTTTTGGTAATTTATAGAATTCATTTTTTTTTTGAGTGTAGATTCATTTTTTACTAATTAAACCAATCACTTAAAGAAAGGCGTATTAAAAAATTTTTTACGAAGCAAAAACCAATAGAGTGTCATGGTGTCCCACTCTCCCCCACATATTAAAAAAATATTTTAATTTTATATTATCTCATAAACAACGTATAAAGATCTAGCCAATAAATGAAAACTTAGAATTCTACAACAATATTTTTTTTCACAAATGTGTAGGTCTTAAAAATTAGTTAAAAAAATGTATTAAAACACCAATACTCGTCTTTTTTTAAAACTGTTTTGCAGCGTAGCATTATTTATAAACTGTTAGAAAAAATGCTAGTTTCTTAATCAGAGTTGTCCTATAAGTTACCTGCGGGCCATTGTGTGGCTCTCAATGTCCTCAGACGTGGCCCACGTATCTCTATTTAATAATTTTTCATACATAACTTTTAGCGTACCTAACTACTGATAATATATATTTAACTGATATTAATTTATTTAAATTCAAATTAAAATCTGCATTAAGATATCAAAAAACGCGTTTCAAAACACATAATATTTGTGTTTATTTTTAATTGCAGCTATATTTAAAATTTTGAAATTTCAGCTTAAAGAGGTGGGTACGATATTGAAAGCGTGCACAAAAATCGTGTATTTGATCCTTCTCGGACAACTATATTTTTTTTACTTGAGCAAAATTTTATTAAGTATTTCTCTTATCTGAAGAAAATTATTATTGCAAAAGTAAACAGACACTATCATGGGTTTATTTTAGTTAAAATTTTATTTACGCAGTAATTTTTTTTTTTTTTTTGTTAAATTCATTATACAATCATATTTACGAATTGCGTATAAATTAATTAACACTTTTGAAACCTTTTTCACAAATGTGTAGTAAAGTTTTTACATAGATTTTTACAACGGTTGCAAAGCTGAAACTTGGGGTCAATGACACATTTTTGGTAGCCATGGTTTTTAGAGAGGTGGAGTGGTATTCTGTTTACAATTCGTGTCTCGTATAAACTGTGGTAAATCCGGGCATCCAGCCTCTATGCGGCGCAACGAAAAACCTGGATCAGTGATGAAGGCAAATGGATGACAGGACTCCATGGGTATGGAGATATAAAGATCTTATCCATACGCATCTTAAAGGGTTATGGGGCTAACACCCCCATAATTCTGGTGCAAATTTATTGACCGTTATGAGCAATAGAATCACGAAAGGTGACGTACCCTTGGCAGTAAACGGGGGTTTAACTGTCAATAAACAAACAGCAGGAGCTGATGGTGCTGAAGCGTGTTTAGTCATACACCCAGGTGTCAAGAGTATTTGATCCTGTTCTGTGTGTTTAAAAAAGTTTACGATCGGAAAAAGAGCCTAGGGCACATTTGGCTCAAAATCACAAACTTGCACCTAGTGCAGTTTGGTACAGGTGTAATAAGTGTCCGTATGAGGGTGATGTCTTAGTGTGGGAACACATCAGAGGTACTGCAAGGGTATTGCGGGAGCGGTGGAGGAGAAAAAACAATTTGCTTGCGCGAGTTGTAATTTCTCTTCGGATACCTTTTCAGGACTTCAAGTGCATAGGCAAAGAAAGCATGTAGGTGAATGGAACAAGCAGCTAAAATAGAAAACGAAGTTTGCTTAGACAGACAGGGAACTGCGGGAGCTGGCGGTTAAGGAAGTAACGATTCCTTTCTCTGTGGTAAATACGGAGACATTTGCTGTGCTAGATATTACGACGCGGACTAAGGATGTTGTGAGGAAAATTCGCTACACGGATAGATATAAATCTATCCTGGCTGAAGTACGCGCACAAATTAACGATGTGGCGGAGGAAGGCTAATTAATATATTTTTTCTTGTTATAATAGCCATTACCTTAGACAACTTATTTAAACTGAAAGAATTATTAAAAGGAGTAGGGCAAGCAATCTGTCATAACAAAAAAACTTTTCAAATTTCTGTAGTAGTAAAAACTATATCTTATATAAAGAGCGATATAGCAGGTTTTTAGGGATTCCTTAAATTTTTGTGTCAAGTGTCCTGTATTTAAAGCTGTATTACTCACAATATAAATCTCTTCAAGTAAAAAAGGTCATAAACTCTAAACATATGGAGATTCAAATGTTCATATATGAGATCTAAATATCTACAGGCTAATGCATAGGTACGTTGTACCATGGCTGACTAAATTACACATTACTATATTAAAGAAAACTGTTGGAAAGTATTTTGATAAAACATAGGTTGACACACTTTGGCATTAGTACCTTGTTTAGTTATTAAGTTTGAAAGATTATCTGACAAAGATTATCTAAAAGACTGCAAAACATCCACGTCTGAAATCCTTACGCGAAAGTGAAGGCACAGTATGACCATCTCGTGAAAGTATTTGTAGATATTGAGAAGTATTTATATTGCTTATATTTGTGGCAAGCATAAACTGCAATTGTTACATTTACTTCTTTTTGTCAATTTCTTAGCCATATAACCAGCAATTGTTGCTGCAACTTCTTTTGTTTCAGGTAAATGAGTTAATTCTGATATCTCATTTGAATGTAAACCTAATGTTATTATTTTATTCATCAATTAATTCATCTTTACTGTGTTATCATAATTTTTTTTATTTCTTCATCCCAAAAATTTACATTTTTCTTAATTTAAGTCCGATATGCTAAAATAACTTCTAGTTGCTGAACTTCTAGTAAACTTACTAGAAATCTCCCACCACTCATTTGTAAATATTGACAAAATCTACGCTTTATAGGGTTACTTTGAAGTCGTGAAATAAGCATATACAAATGTCCTTTTTTGATAAGCTCGTCCAAATACATTGCTTGAGAACGCAGAGTTGTAATAAGAGCAGATGATGTTTATTTTGATAAACTAAAAAGATGAGATTTCTCCCAAAGTTCAATCCAATTAGCAAGTTGTCTAAAAATTATGGTTTTACCATCATTAAAAATAAATGCATTACGAAGTTTATTAGGACTAAATTGTTTAAAATTTGAAGTAGTCTACCATTATTGAAACTGCTTAAAAAACTAAAAATGTCATTTTGTTCTGAAATATACATTTTAAAACTTGCAATTGTAGTTTCATCGAAAATCAACAGTGCAAGAAAAACATTTTGCATTTTATTACCAGGGTGAAGATATGTAATTTTTGAAGTTTTTTTTAAATTACCTTGAAACTGTTCATATTTAAAATGTAGAAGATAAAAATTTCCCCAAGTAATATAACCACCTGGACAATTCTAGACGTCATCTTTTATGTTATATATAAGTAATAGAAAGAGAAATTTTTTACAGTGTAATAAATAATTTCTGATATTTTCAACAATGTGAACACTTTAACTAGTCTCATAAGTTTAAGCTGTAATAGTAATCATAAAATAAATATATTTTAACATTGGGACCATCAGTATGATAAGTAAATAAGCTTGACCAATTACTAAATTTGGAATGAAGTAAACTAAATGCATCTACATTTGCTTGATAATTGTCAGTAACAACTTATATAGGATATAGAAGAAGAAAACTAATAAAATCTGATAG